TGGAATGGCCTGGTGTTCAAGGTCTCCTACCTTCTACCTGCTTCTCCACCATTACACCTCAAGACCGCCACAGTGCTCAATGTCCACCGAACAGGTCCCTGCCCGGCACATCTCACCCTCTCAAGTCTGCTCCCTCGCCACACGTGCATGCTCTCAGGCCCACATGTTCTCATCTCCTCCAGACCCCTGACTTCTGCCAGTCCTAATACCAATGTCTGTGCTGCTTTTGTCTGTGCATCCAGTCAGCCCATCAAATCCTCACCTTCACTGGCTACTGTGGGTCTTAGAAGCAACAAGGATGTCTTACGCCACTCTCTGAGTGGTAGAACCCCTTATATACAGTCAATACTCAAAGACTATCTGCTGACTGATTTGAACATGAAGACAGCTTCTTCCCTTCCAACGCTAACCTACCTAGACGTGGTGAGACGTGTGGCACCCAAGAAGCACAGAAGTCACCACCAAGAGAACCAGCACCTCCCTGGAATGGAGGGGGTCCCAGTGTGTGGACAGGCCCCAAGGGCTTCTGTCGAGCGTTTGCATGAATGCAAGCTACGGGAGCTGACGGGATCACGGTGGGATGCCCAGGAGGCCCTCAGTCCAGTACCTGCACAAGATGCCTGTGTGCGTGCTCATAGGAAGGCAGCGCTCCCTCCCCGATCAGCTCCGTGTCAAACAGCTCTGTGACCAGGATGTTGGCACGGCATGGCATGTCACCATCTGAGAAACACAAGGAAATACAATCAGAAGCAAGCAAGAGACTAGGAAAAATATATGGGCAAGACAAAGATCGCAGGTGGTGCGATGCTTTAGCACTCTACTGCTAACTGAAAGGTCAGCAATCTGAAAGCAGCAGCCACTCTGCAGGAGAAAAAACCCGGAGATGCTCATGAAGACTGCGGCCTAGGAAACCCTGGCCGATTTACTGTGTTACAGGGTCACTCTGAGTCAGAACTGGTGACAGCACACAATGTGTGCAAGACAACAACAGGTTATTAAGTTAAAAGCCTATGCATATGCTGCGTGGTGAAGCGTCGTGATGTCTGCAACTGACTTTCCAATGGCTCAGCAAAAAAATTCATATATATAAAATCATTGCTGATGTCAGATGGATTTTTTTTCAAATTGTTTTATCTTGGTGTGGGTGACGAGTTTCCCGCTGACTATTTAGACACATTTTATTTTGTGACATTAGCTGCAATCCCCTCAATGTGACAGCTCTCTTCCCACTTCCTCCTTGGCTTCTCCGTGTCCATTTATCCTTCGGTCCTCCCCCCTCCTGCCTTCTCAGCTTGGTTTCTGGGCAAACATTGCCCTTGTATTTTTTATGGCAAAAGGCTAACAGTTGGTAAATTGACATTAAGGGAACACAGGTGTTCACCATACAATTCTTTCAATTTTTCTGCATGTCTAAATATTGTGGGGTGGAGGGGTACTTACAAAAACTGATTAAAAAAAAAAAAAAAAAAAAAAACCTCTACATACCCAAAAAGAAAACCAAGCAAAAATACAGATAGATAATTCAAAACAGAAAAAAAAAAAAAAATCAAACATGGGTAATTTTCTTATTAGCAGCTGGAGAGATACAAATGAACACCTAAGGCAGTGATAGCTGGCTATTAAATTAGTTATAAAATCAGGAAACAATTATTTGAAAAGCAAAACCTCAACAATGATACTTCAGCCACTTCCAGGCCGTAGAGAGCAAGGCTGCCTGGTGGTCCTCAGTCACTGTGAGAGCAGGTGAAGCTACCAATTGAGGCCCAGAGTCTAAACCCCAGGTCCCCGACAGCAAATCCCTGTCAGTTTCTTGCCTCCAATAATCCTTCAAATACTGTTGTCTTAAGATAAGATTTTGGAGGGTCTTTTCTTTAGTTCTATTTTCTAAACCTTCCATAATGTAACTTAATGTTATTGTGCAATTAACAATTTTTAAAGAGCCAAAAAACAAAACAGACTTTGGAAAGGGCTGTTCATCATTAACTGTCAACACTTCTAATGGCTCATAAATTCCAATGTGACAGAGCCCACTCACCTTACTCACAGAACATAAGTCTCATGAACGATAAAAGAGAAAAAAGCAGCAGCCAAGTTGCTCAAAGAAGAAGGGTGGAGCGAGAGAGAGCATTTTTAAAATAAAGGGAATACTATTCTTTTCAGAGAAAAAAGCTGTCCTTAGGTAGATGTTTCAGTTCTGAAACACTGCATTTTGCTTTAACTGTGGTGATAACCTCACTACAGAATTTTCCACAAATCTTTTAACTGTGCATTCCAAGTATTAAAGGTAGAATGTGAGATTTTTAGTAGTCTGCTTCAAACTCCCAGACCATGAAATATATTCTGGAAACCTCAAGACTGTGCTATACAGAAAAATCCCACCTGCTGTATGCTGAGGTAGATGCCAGAACTAAGCAAGCCCCCTCTGCTGTGTAATTACTTCACGTCTATCTGACTGCACCACAGGGCTGACCCACACAGGCATTCCAACTGGCTTACAGCAGTTCACGGGGGGGTTTCGTTTGCCCCAGCTCTCGCCCTTGATCAACTCCACTTACTCATTGCTGATTTGTTTTAACCAGTAGAGAGAGAAACATTGTGAGAAACAAAGGGATTATGTTTGCAGCCGCCACAAAGCCAAGGCCCCATTTTTCTGCAGTTCACTGTGTGCGTTTGCTTTCCCTGCAACGTCTTCCTCTCACACACAAGAGTTAGATAAAGCTTCCAGCACGGGACCTGTTCACCTCACCTGGCCCTACGGTTACCTCAGTGGAATGCTTGTTGATAATCTTAATCTTATCACTGAAGCCATTTTTCTCCACTATCTTCACAGCAGCATCAGCCATAGGCTTGAAAACCTAGAAATTAGAGCAAACACTCAACTAAAAATAAGCAACAAAGTGAGTAAGATCCCTAACACCCCAGGGTAGCAGGACATTTCTAGATTCTGGTGCAAATAGCTGAAGTAAAGGGGCTTCCTCCTGAAGACACAGTGTATTCTGTTACTGTTAATGACGTAGGGAAACTTTCTTTGGTGCCAATGTGATTTACATCAACAAGACCCCATCTGGGTAAGTGCCAACATGTGCCACGGCAATGAAGGCAGAAGGTGAGTTTCGGTTAGGTCGGCTTGATGTGGGAGCTCCCATCTCATGCACTGGGCAGTGGGGATGCTGGGGACCCCAAATGAGGAGGGCAGGTGTTAGTGCCACACAAGGGGAACACCCAGGGCAGGAGGAGCCAGGAGAGAACAGGCCCGGATGTCTGTGGCCTGGGACGAGTGTTGCACTCTCTAGAGGACTTTGTTAGACCACGTGAGAAGACCACCCTCCTGCTCCAAACTGTCAGAAGTCCCCGCTGTTGGCCCAACACAGCCTTTTGTATGATATTCGAGGCCCTTCACAATACGGCCCACCTTTCTGTCCCAGCCTCACACCTCTACCCCGCTGTCCAACGTTCCAACCACACTGACCCCCTCACTGTAGTTAGGCAAGCCTGAGCCTTCCTGGCCCTGAGTTCCTCTCCAGCCTACCCATTGAATCGAACCCAGTGTCCCAGGGCTGCACTAATCTCCAGATTTCTTCCCTGAATCTTTCGGTTGAGCGTAGCTGTGGCAGAGCAGGGAACAGGAGGGAGTGTGGATAGAAGAGCCTGGACTGCTCACCTGCAGACTTTATGTAAGAAACCACAAATGCCAACCTTGTCATGTAAGAAAGCACAAATGCCAACCTTGTCTAAGCCACTGTTATATGGCGACTTTGTAACTCAATCATCGCATCAACCCAGCTTTATAGGGGAAAGTATTTAAGGACATGTTTAACTAAATTCTCAACAAGTTTAAAAGAATATATGCCAAATTTTAACAGTTAAAAAAAAAGAAAAAGAAAAAAAAGGCTATTTTTATATTGCATTTATCAAATTTACTACAGTCATATAAATTATATACATTACCAGAAAACAACTTTTCATGTTTTATTAAGGAAAAAAATGACAGACTGCAAAACCACTGATAAGTGTAACAGGACAGCTGACTCTAGGGACAGTTAAGGCCAGGGTTCTCAACCATGGATGCACATAAAAATATGCAATGGCCAGGCCACACCCCAGAATAACGGAATCAAAATCTCTACAAGTAAGACTAGACATTAGTATCTTTTCAAGCTCCTCAGGTGAGCTTGAGAACCACTGTTTTCAGAGAAGAAAACAGGCCACTGTCTGATTCACCTCTGTCCTTCGCCACAGAACTTCCCTGTGCTTGGCAGAGAAGGCGCTCTCCATCAATGTTGGTGAACAAACAGAGGGGCCCATGCACAGGCACAGGACACACACCCAGCAAGTGTGGCTCACCTCAATGGCATAGCAAAAATCAGCGCCTGCCGTGACCGCCATCATTGACAGGAGTCCCGTGCCAGTGCCAATGTCGAGAACCAAGGCCTTCTGTCCTCTGTCCTTCACCCTGCTCACGGCAGCACGGATACCCTGGTAATACTTTATATTCTAAGAAAAAGGGAGAAATAGCCATCACTTCATTAGTTATTACAAGTGAGATACATGTGAAAAGTGCTTTGTAAAGTTCTAGAGTCCTGCTTGACAGTCCCAGCGTAAGCAGCCCTTCTGGGCCCTACAGGATCAGTACTGGCTAGCTAGCTGGGCCGGCCTTGCTGGGACTCCAAGAGCACTGGGACGGCCTCTTGGCCCTTATTAAGCCACCTTCTCTCCTTTCCCCACCATTCTTCCATACAAACTACCCTCTCCTTCCCTAGCTGTGAGGTACAGCCAGTAAGGGGAACTACAGGTAGCTGGAAGGTAGGAGGGAGAAAGCTTGCCCCTTCCTGTAAGCCTGCTGCCCTCTTCCAGGTCCTTGACTCTGGCTTCCTTCAGCACTCAGATAACCAGCCTCCTCACCCCCTCTTAAAGACCTATGTCTAAAGTCTTTAGTAACTAAAACAGATACATCTTCCATCTGCAACAGTTTGGCTACACAGGCACTCTGACTGATCCTACTGTTGCAAATTATGGAAAAAGTACTTGTATGTTTTTCAAAATACATGTATGTCATATTCCACTGTCAGTGATGGCAAGCATTGATCTATGGGTGGACAGATAGGTGGATAGGCTGAATGATCAGGTATGTCTAAGCAGGAGGGAGTGTGCCTATAACCACGTATAGAGTCAGCAGATGATGTTTCTACATGCATATCTGGATGTGCTATAAGAATGTCCAGGTTTACAGTAGTGCTGACAAGGGGCAAGGTTGTGGTGGCTTCTTGGCCACAGCCAGCTATCCTGAGGGAACGAGCAGTTGGACCTGTGGGCTCAGGACCATGGTCACAGGGGACACCAAGCTCAACTGGCTTAACATACTACACCAAAACACTGTTCTGCATCCTACTTCGGTGAGTAGCAGCTGGGGTCTTAAAAGCTTACAAATGGCCATGCAGAGGCAACGACAAGTCTCTTCTCATCCAGAGCAAAGAAAAATAAAGATGTGTGGAAATAATTAGTCCAAGGGACTAGCAGATCATGTGCTCCTCAGCCTATATGACCATGAGACCAGAAGAACTAGCTACCACTGTCAACCACTAAGAGGGGGATCAGTGCAGGAGATCCTGGATAGAATGGGAGAACAATGTGCAACAAAACTCAAAACCATAAAAAAAAGACAACCAGGTTTGCTGGTCTGATAGATCCTGGTGAGACCTCCGAGACTATGGCCCCTAGTTACCCTTCAGGTCTGGAATTGAACTCACTTCTGTGGCTTCCAGCCAAACAACAGATGGACATATGGGATGAACATTTACATCAAGCAGATACACACTCCCTGGAGTGAGGGACAACAAAAGGGCAGTGTTTGCACAGAGAGATAGCTCAGGGGCAGGAACGCATGGGAAGGAAGGACACAGGGAAGAGGTAACTGGGGAGGAAGTGGGAAGAGAGCTGTTACACTGTGAGGAACTACAGTCAATGTCATGAAACAAAATGTGTATGAAATGCTGCAGGGAAAATGAATTTTCTCTGTAAACTTTCACCCAAATCATAAAAAAAAAATTTCAGGAAGTAGCATATGATCTAGAACCAATGATACCGAAGGAGGAAGTCGAAGCTACAGTGAAAGAATTGGCAAAGAGCAAGGTTCCAGGAATTGACAGAATACCCATTGAGATGTTTCAACAAACGGATGCCCCATTGGAGGCACTCACTCGGTCATGCCAAGAGATTTGGAAGACAGATACCTGGCCAACTGACTGGAAAAGATCCATATTTATACCCACTCCAAAGAAAGGGGATCCCACAGAATGTGGAAATTATAGAACAGTATCATTAATATCATATGCAAGTAAGATCTTACTGAAGATAATTCAAAAATGGTTGCAGCAGTATATTGACAGAGAACTTCCAGAGGTGCAAGCTGGATTCAGAAGAGGACACAGAACAAGAGATATCATAGCTGTTGTTAGATGGATCTTGGCTCAAGGCAAAGAATACCAGAAAGATGTTTACTTGTGTTTTATTGACTATGCAAAGGTATTTGATTGTGTGGATCATGACAAATTATGGATAACATTGAGAAGAATGGGAATTCCTGAACACTTGATTGTACTCATGAGGAACCTGTACCTTGCCCAGGAGGCTGTCATTCGAACGGAACAAGGGAACACTACATGGTTCAAAATCAAGAAGGGAGTATGTCAGGGTTGCAAATAATCCGAGAAGCTGGACTATATGAAGAAAAACATGGCATCAGGATTGGAGGAAGACTCATTAATAACCTGAGATATGCAGATGATACAACTTTGCTTGCTGAAAGCAAGGATGACTTGAGGCACTTACTGATAAAGGTTGAAGAATACAGTCTGCAGTATGAATTATGTCTCAATATAAAGAAAACAAAAATCCTCACAACTGGACCAATGAGCAGCATCACAATAAATGGAGAGAAGATTGAGGTTGTCAAAGAATTCATGTTGCTTGGTTCCATAATCGAGGCTAATGGAAGCAGCAGTCAGGACATCAGACGACGTGTAGCACTGGTCAGGAGGAACTGTTTCAAGTGCTGAGGAGCAAGGATGTCTCCTTGAGGACTAAGGTGCACCTGACACAAGCCATGATATTTCCAATCGCCTCGTATGCATGTGAAAGCTGGACAATGAGTAAGGAAGACCAAAGAAGAGTTGATGCTTTTGAGTTGTGGTGTTGGCGAAGAATGCTGAAAGTACCATGGGCTGCTAAAAGAACTAACAGATCTGTCCTGGAGGAAGTGCACCCGAAATGCTCCTTGGAAGTGAGAATGGCTAGACTTCGTCTCACCTACTTTGGTCATGTTGTCAGAAGGGACCATTCCTTGGAGAAGGATGTCATGCTTGGTAAGGTGGAGGGTCGACAAAAGAGGGGAAGGCCTTCAATGAGATGGCCTGACACGGTGGCTGCGATGATAGGCTCAAGTATAGCAGGGATCATGGAGCTGGTGCGGGATCGGGCAGTGTTTCATTCTGCTGTGCATGGGGTCACTATGAGTCAGAAATGACTCAACGGCACCTAACAACAACAACATGCAGCACTAAAGAATAATGTAGAGTCTGCAAAACACCGCATAATATGGATGAACTTGGAGGACATTATGGTGAGTGACGTAAGTCAATCACAGAAGGACAAATGTATTAGTTTGTTGTTGTGGAGGGTCAAGGAAAGGTTTATATATGGAGGGAAACTTTGTTGGTTGCCAGGGGTGGGAGGGGAGAGGAGGGAACACTGCGGAAAAATAAAAAATGCATCCACCCATGTCACTTTAGTTTTGTGTATTTCACTGTACATAAATTATATTTCAATAAAATACATTTAAAAAAAAACAAACATTTAACACCTCAGAAACCCAAAGGGGTCACTATGAGTCAGAAATGACTCAATGCCAGTGAGTTCGGTTTCCTGGTATATAGGATCAAAGAAGCTTTGGTGGCATAGTGCCTAAGGCATGTGACTGTTAATCAGAAGGCTGGTAGTTCAAACCCAGCAACCTGAAAGACAGGAAATTTAAGGGACAATGAGTTTATGTATTAACAACATAACCAAAACCAAAACCAAACCTAGTGCCATCAAGTCAGATCTGACTCATAGTGACCCCTCCTTGGGTTTCTGAGGCAGTATCACTATCGAAGTAGACTGCCCAACCTTCCTTCTGAGGAGTGGCTGGTGGGTTTGAACCACCAGCCTTCTGGTTAGCAGTCAAATGCCTTAGGTACTACACCACCAGGGTGTGGTAACACCATAACAGTGGGCAACAATTCAGAAAAGGAGGGTAAGAAGGGTTGCAAAACTTGAAGAATGCAATCAATGTCACAGAAATTACTGGATTTAGTGTATGTTCTATGTATTCTCAACGACAAAAAATTTAAAAAAAAATAAAACTCTAAAGGGTCTTCTTTAAACAGAAAAAAAAAAAAAAAAAAAAACACTGGCTCCAGATAGAAGCTCTAAGATATAAGAAACGAGAAGAAACTGGCAAGTATGCGAGCAGAGCTAAACAAAAAAGCTGCCTGGATAAGGCAACAACTGTAGTACCTTCCGGAATTTAAGAACAAAAGCAAAAATAAAATTCATACAGCATGGGGGGTGGGGGGTGACCAGAGTTCAAATTCTAAGTTTTAGTTTTGAGAGATACATACTAGGTGGTAAAACTAAAGAAAAACAAGGGAATAACTAATACAAAATTCAAGATGGGGGAAACTTCTGGGAGGAGGGAGAGAAATGCCATGAAGAAGAGGTGCACAGGGATTCCGAGTCATGGTAATGGTTGGAATACCCGAGTAGTGAAGCTAAGAGCATTTACTCTACTATTCGCCGTGAAACTGTACATATACACTCTATGTGTTCTTTTACGTATAGTAGAAGCCCTAGTGGCAATGTGGTTAAAGCATTTGGCTGCTAATTCAAAGGTCAACGGTTCGAACCCACCAGCTGTACCACAAGAGAAAGATGAGGCAATCTGCTTTCACAAAAACTTAAAGCCTTGGAAACCCTAAGGGGGTTCTAGAGTCACTATGAATCAGACTCCACTTGACAGTAGTGAGCTTTTTTTTTTTTTTTTTTGTATGCATATGTTTAAACCCACCAACCACTCCTCAGAATGAAGGTTGGGCAATCCTACTTCCATAGTGATACCACCTCGGAAACCCAAGAAGGGGTCGCTGTGGGTCGGGGCTGACTCGACAGCGCATAACAACAACAACATGCATATGTCAAGAATTTTTTTTTTAAATAAAAATGGTCCCAACTACCAATGCCAACCACTCAGAAAGGGATCAAAATTGGAGATCCTGTACAGAGTGGGAGAAAAATGTGGAACAAAACCCACAATCATAAAAATGACCAGGCTTACTAGTCTGATAGAGACTGGTGAAACCTCCGGGACCATGGCCCCAAGTAATGCTTCAGGGCTGGAATCGATCTCACTCCTGTGGCTTAACTTTCAGGCAAACAAGCCTATGAGCTAAACACCTGCACCAGGGAGATGCACTCATTAGCACAATCAACCACACAAAGTCAGAAGGGCAGCATATGCACAGAGAGAAATTGAGGGAGGCAGGTATGCAGAGCCAAGAAGGACACCAGGAAAGGGTGACCACAGGGAGGAAGTGGAAGGTGAGACGTTACACTGCAGAGGATATAACTAACGTCACAGGACAAAATGTGCATGAACCATTGAACGTAAAACAAATCTGGTTCATAAAATTACACCCAAATCACAATAAAAAGTTTGAAAAAACAAAAAGGTACGAGATCTTAAAACAGCAACAATGAACTCTAAAAGAATGTGGAATGATGATGTCAAAATTCTGAAGGGAAGTTACTTCCAAACAAGAGTCCGTATCCAGCCTAACTCTTAAGTATAAAGATGGTATGAAGAAGTTTTCAGCTAAGCACAATCTCAGAAACCTTACTTCCCATGCACCCTCTCACAGAAACTGAGGAAATGTGCTTCACCAAAAAGGGGAAGTAAACCAACAGAGAGGAAGACGGGGCCCAGGAAGAGCCACATAAAAGAAGTGAAGGAAATCCCCAGGAGGATCAGCAAGGATCCCAAGAAAACAGATACACAGCAGCTGTGAGGAACCACCACCAGTCCAGACTGGAGCAGGTCAGGGCAAGCCTGGAGACATTCTCCAACAAGAGAAAACACACTGAATCTCGGATGTATCTCACCATTCTGGGAGGAAATTTAGACAACTGGGATGAGTCTGGGCATTAAGTGATTTATACATAGAACACTAAGGCAAAAGTAATCATTAACAAAGAGTTGTGCAAGAAAGGAAAAGTAATCAGATTATATCACACAGCTCAACTGTGAACAGTGTTTACATAGTCTTGATAGGGAAACTTCACTAACACAACACCCACTTATAAATGCTTTACAAATATGAACTCATTTGAGCCTCATAACAGCCCTTCCAGGAAGTACTACTGTAACCCCTATTTTACAAATTAGAAAACTGAGGTACAAAGAGGTAAAGCAACTTCCCCACTGCAACACTAAATACCGATTTAACCAAAAAATTCTAACTGCGCTGGGAGGAAAAGAGAATGAGTTGGGAGGAGGACCTGAAAGAAAACCAAATTCTCAGCTCTCATAGCTGGAAAATTAATAGCTAGTAGGCATGTAGATAATGATGTTAAACACCAAGAAACAGCTAAAGACGAAGAAATACGGCTGCCTCTGAGGTAAGCATAAAACGGTTTTGTACGGGGGAAGCAGCACACCAGAGGACTGTTTTGTTTTTTTTAAGTAATTTACCAAGATGAAATTCATGTGACATATTAATCACATTAAAGTGAACAATTCAGTGTCATTTATTATATTCACAGCTGTGTACTCACCACCTCTATCTAGTTTCAAAATATTTCTGTTGTTTCAAAGTAAAATTCCTTTCACCAAATAAGCAGTTTCTCCCCACTGCCCACGTCCCTCAGTCCCTGGCAACCACTCATCAGTGCTCTTTCTCTGGAGATTAATCTACTCTGGATAGCTCATATACATGGAATCACATCATGCTTGACCCTTTGTATCCGGCTTCTCTCACTCAGCATGTTTCTGAGGTTCATCCATGCTGTGGCATGCATCAGTACTTCATCCCTTCTCAGGGCTGAAGAATATTATTCTATGGTGTGTATATACCACAATTTGCTTACGGGAAAGTAAGTTCTGAGTAACAGCTTTGGCTGCAGAGCTCAGGGATGCTTAGATTACTGACAGTGCACATTGCACTCATAATAAAGTAACCACACAAGAATTTATGGTCAGAACTTTGTGAGCTCAATGTCTCCCATGTGGTCTGCTTGCCCTTAACTCCAATACAATCTTAAACTGCATCTCTCAAAGCATGATGCCCAGTGTATAGGGGTATTACTACCACTGTCCATGACTCAACAGACAACAGCTATGGCTTCCGAACAGTTCTAGGGCATGGGGCACATTTTAAGAGGGCTGCTGACATATTAGAATAGAGTGACAGAATCAGTAGAGGATCTGGTTAGTCACGCTAAATGAGACCAGAACTGCACCACCATTCCATAAGTCAATCAGTAAAAAAAGCTCTGATAAAACACAAATTGTGACAGAGACAAGCGAAAATGTAATTCTGCAATGGAGGCTGAATATGCTTTTCAAAACATAGTCTGCAGTGACCTCTAGAGATACAATTTTAAAAATACAAACTGGACCAGTGAAGCAGCATATAATTAAAAGAATTTTTTTCTAGAGAGGATCTTGGAGACCATCTAGTATACATGTTCATTTTAAATCTGAACCATTGAGACCCAGAGAGGGGACATGTTTTCTCCAAGGTCACAATGAGGACAACAGCAGAGTTGAAAGTTAGGAGCCAGCCTCCTGACTGATTGCCAGACCACTACACCACATTGCCTCTCAGCATCACTCTAACATCGTGCTTGGGGGTGGGGGGAGAAGGGGATTAACCCTTAACAGAAGATTTCACAACCCCATAGAGACAATGGTTTCCTTTTACACTTACTCTGTCCTTGTCATGCAGCATATCTGCATAGGATGACCTAAAACAAAAGGAATATTGGTCAGAAACATCTGCTAATGATAAACATCAATGCTTGAGATTATTCACATGTATAAACCCATTCCTAATCAGGTGGAACAAACATGTCATCTACGCCCATAGTTTCAAAACTATTTTAGTAGATGTGTAAGTGGTCATTCTTAAACAGTACCAGAGACAGGTATTCATTTTCAGCTAAGAACTCCAGATGTAAAAATGTTCCAGTAGTCAACCCTGTCACAGTGACTCCATAGCCACCAGCATTCTGATCACTGCATGATATTCTCCTCGGGAACAACTCAGACTCAATTTGCCTGATACTTCATGTAATCTTGCATATACTTACACATGGGGGTAATCCAGGGAAGGAGGGAGGGAAAGGGTATACCTGTCATCTAGGTGAAGGGCACCATGTCATCTGGGACCTGATGGAGTTCCCTAAGCTCAGAGTGTCAAAGGGGAGAGAGCCATTTCTCTCGATTTTCTACATAGAAATTCAAATCTGAGAAACCCCTGGCAGGGTCAGGATGAGCCCTCTCCCAACCCACTCCCCACTGGCCCAGTGTTTTCTGAGAGTTCCAGATAAAATAGCTTTTATCTGGAAGCTGCATATAAAATTAAGTTCTGCAGAGATTCCATCATTGATCCGAAGCTTCCACTCTGGCCACCCTCTCCTGGTACTCCTACTCCCGGATTCCTGGCTGAGTCTACCCACCCTGATTGTTAACAGCATGACCGCCCACTCCACACCCAAAAAGGAGTCCAAGTCGTCTGCTTTGAGACCAAGTGCCCCATTCTGCTGTAGACAACTATGAATAAACCCGTGTCACCTCGCAATCTCCTGGTGGTAGTCATAGTGTTCGTCCTCCTCCAGCCACTCCACAGACCCCGTGGTTGGGTTGGCCCGGCCACAGAAGACCTTCATGGTGCCACTTGGCTCCTCAGGTTCACAGAGGAGCAGCCTGGACAGCTCACTTCTGTGGACAGGTGTGGTTGTCAGAAACTTATTCACATTCTGATACCCAAAAACGGAGAGAAAAAAGACAGGAAATGAAAAAAAAATCAAGAAATTGACAAAAGTGTCTAAATCACCGAAAGAAAGCTATCAGTATGTTGATTTCTCCGGCAAGAGCTACAATTGTTGTATTTTTTATATCAGCATGTGACATCAAAAACTACAATGCGTAAATTTACAAAGCTGTCTGGGAGTTTCATCAGTTCCCCATGATATCACAATGGTCCAATGAGCCTCACAGGTATGTCTGGATACAGCCTGCGGGTGAATGCAGGTGGGAAGGGAAAGGAAGGCAGGCAAGATCCAGGAGGAAAGAAGAGCAAAAAGAGATGCCAGGTGTGATAAAGGAGTGCTACCAATACTGCCTCAGTTTATGACATGCTCTGTTTAGGGAAAAATACAAAGAATAATTCAAGAAAGCCTTCACC